ATAACACTGCATTGCCTGTATGAACTGTGCTGTGCCTCGGACACTGACCTAATGTATTGATTTTGGAAATCCTGTATGCTTTGACTTGCCAGAGTAGTTATTGGAATTGAAAATATTCATTGGATCCATTTCAAGACAAATATCCCAAGTCAGACTGGCTGCTGCTGAGCAAATTTTTAATGAAGGAAAATATCCATATATTGAAACCAGACTTTAAAAAGAAAGTTCTTAGAATAAACATATATTTACTTTAAAGTCTAGAAAAAAAAATGTCTGTATTCAGACATCAATTGACTGAATAATTAACGTAATGGAATTATTGACCCGTACAAAATTATAGCATACATTCATTCATTTATTCAGTGAGCAGCAAGAAAAGGCTGATTTTTAAAAATGATCACAAAACAGTGAGATCATTGCTACGGTATAATAGAGGGATGTGACTGGTACGTGGTGACAGGAGACAGGAGTGACAACTGAAGTGGCATAAAAAGGAGCCAGGGAACTGCTGTAGATGAGTGCTAGTATGAAAGGTGAGTTAATAACGGTCGTAAAGATGGCTGTAGTAGATTGGGTTGTGCCCATTGGTAGGTTGCAGTCTACATTTAAAACGTAGAGTAGAAAAAAGACAAGGAGTGTTACATGTAATAGGGGTATGTGAAGTTTTGTGAAACATGTTTCAGTTATATGACTCTCTGTTGACTGATGTGAGTGTATTTCTCGCTATGAACTGTGGTCAAAGTTTAAAAGCCATTATATTATAGTAGAGAAATGTGGGAATGAGGTTGGAGAGAAGGGAATGGATATAAAAGATATTTTTGGGAAGAACAAATGTGAATCATAAAATGCTGCTGTCCATGAGAACCCTCTTATAGGGGAAGAGGCTGCACTTACCAACCCATTTCATTATTTTTGCCCACTTGATGCTTTCTATTGTGTATTAATACATTCACATTCTGGTTTATTAGGAAAGGCAGAGCTTTGAGGTGTCTTACTGAATGTTGTAAATGCTACAAAATTTCTCTTGTATTTTGGTAGTGCTCCGCTTAAAATCATAGGTAGAATGAAACTATATTCCCAGGGATCCTGGAAATTCATTGAAACAGATTGATTTGATTATTGGCCAAGTTCTTTGATTTGTTCCTATAAGGAAGTAGGAATAGATGCTTAGTTACACAAGCGGTGGGAAGTCCTTCTCCCTACCTCTATGATTTTGCCACTCCAGTAGACTTAGTCTGCTGTGCCTGTGATGTACATATAAAGCTAGAAAATTGCTCATATAGGCTGAGTTAAATTGGCTTTTAAAAAAATTATAGACTCCTTCAAAGTCTGATTGGTTAATTGGTTCAAATATGTTATGCTCTTAGTTATCAGTGTGAATTACTCTTCGTGGAGCAAAAAACACTAAACATTTTTTTAGAAACTTGGCCTCTTCTGTCATCTAATATATTATTGAGATCTCCTACTAATAAGGTTTACACAAAAAATGTAAACAGCCTGCCATCCTCATTCCATATTCAAAGGGAAAGGGTTATTTGATGTGATGTGACACCACTCCTCTTTTTATACAACAATCTAGAGTTGAAATCCATGGTTTTTCCCAAGTTCTGCCACTAGTTGAGAGGCCTTGCTCAGTGTGACCTTCCTGAGCCTCCCCAGTAAAACAGAATCTCACCTGTGTAGTGAGTCTTAGCTGAGGAAATGCATGCACAATGTCGCACACATAATACACATTCAGTAAAAGGCAGCAGCTGCTGCTCTGCCATTCAGATGGTCCACAGATTTGGGGGCACCAAGAAAATCAGTCCTCAGGGAGAGATTGGGATGTATAAAAAACCTAGAACTATCTATATCTGGATAGCTTTTTGGTTTGGGAAAAAGAATGGAGTAAAATGGTATCATCCTCAGAAAAGATTAGCATAGCCACTACGCATGACATGCAAATTGAAGAAGTATTCCATATTTTTAGGACTGTAATATTAAACTTTTTTTTAATGGTATCATCCTTTTCCTGTCTCTTTTCACTTAAAGACCTTTTAAGATTTGTGTTGGCATCAAAGGGCAGAGAACTTTACAATCCCAAACTATGATAAACTCTTCAGTATAAACCATGAACTTGCCAGATGGCTGACATAGATTTTTCTGTCAAAGGTTGCAATTACATTGTAAGAAATCACTATCTTAAATGTTAGAGCAATCTATATACTATTCATTAAATGATTTTTATTTGCCCCATTTACTTAGGGAATGTTATTTTCTTGCATTATCATAAGTGGGCATATTTTCAGCTGGTAAAGCTCTTGTTGTTGGACTTTTCTTCCTTATAATCTTGTCTTTCTGTTTTGGAAAACTATTAATATAAAAGATACCTTGATTCAAAACAGGGAATTTAGACAGTAGAATATTTTTAATCAAGATTCTCAGGTTAAGATTATTACTCAATTTTTTCTTTGTGGTACAGTAAATCAACATAAAGTAGATACAGTTCACGAACCTTTAACAAAAATTACTAACCAGTTACCATGCGCCAAGCATTGTGCTAGATCCCGAGGAAATCAAGAAGATCTTGTCCTTTCTCTGGGAGGATTATCAACTGGGATGAGGGATGAGATTTGGTGAGAGAGGTCTATAAATAGGTAAATTAGGACACAAGATGACAGATACTCTACCTGAGATATGAGTAAAGGCTTTGGAGCATTGATGCCTAGGTAAGGTGGGGAAGACTATTTTAGGAGAGGTGATATTTGAACTAGGTAGGAATTTGGCAGGCAAGAAAGTAGAAGATATGCATTCCCCGACATCTATTTTTGTTGTAGCATATAGTTAAAAAAACAAAATAAAAACAATACCATGGTTTAAAATGGTTACTAGCCATTAAGATAATGGTTCTGATAGAACCTCTGTGTATAGAGACATAGCTAAAACATGATTATCACTTTTTTGCACTTTGCACGTATATCTTTTTACTAGGTGTTTGAGTATATAGGCTAATTTATATCTAATTTAGAAAATGTCATGTAAATATATGTTGATTGGATACTGATGGTCACAATAACTGGTTAAATTAGGGACTCATCAAGTTTGATTTTCATATAATGAAGAAATATAAATGCAGAATGAAGAAAGTTATGTGATGGCAAAGATAAAAATTGAGTCATGAATAGTTATTAAATATTTCTCATTAAAATTATAAAAATTCTAAATTTTATCTTAAAGAGTTTTATTAAAATAGCAACTATATTTTGTTTGTTTTAAATGTCCTTTTGAGTGTTTGTGTCAAGGGTAGTAATGAATGTTTTAAAATTGTTTTTACACATTTTTAATACATTATCCCTTTAGAATAAGACTAATTTTGTACAAATAGAAGACATTATTTTTTCTCCCACCCAAACAGAAGAATGTTGAGCAGTTTTTGTTCTAATAAACAAACGTAAAACATTTCTCTCTTTTCCCAATAGAATATTATTTAGCTAAAATTATTTTTTGTGTTGGCTGGCCTTGAAATACAATTTAGAGGTACTTTGAAGTAAAGAAATAAAATAAAGTAATTTATTTCATTGTGCCATGAGGTACTTAAAAACCAAAATTTTCAAATAATCATAAACCCAAACTTAGTAGGCAATCTATAAGTTTTTGTTTGCCACTGCAAACTTGGTCTATGGCCTAATTTTTTACTAAAGTTTTGTAAATTGGTATAATAATAATAAAAGCTAACATTTATTGAGCTCTTACTGTGTGCTAGGCACTGTTCCAAGCTTTTTACATGAACTCGTTCCATTCTCACAGCCATCCTATTCTCTTACCTCTTCTCTTATGAGAAAGTTGAGGCACAGAGTGGTTAATTAAGATGCCCAAGGTCATAATAGCGTAAGTGGCAGAGACTCAGTTACTGAGGTTCATAACTTCTGTATTTTCCTGACCCTCAGCATGCTGAGCTTTGAAGTGGAGAAGGTCAGTAAATTTAAGGATCCTCAATTAATCTCATAGTGGTTCAGACTTTAGTGTGCTTACATAAAGAGATTCTGATTTGTGGGGCTGAGAATGTGCATTTTAAGTAAGCACCAGGAGGTTCTGACTACTTTGAGATACACTGATCTGGTTGGAATACAGTCCTCACAGCTCACTTCACATGAAGGCTTGTTGCCTTGTGTGTGTATGTTGGATCATCCTTTGCAAATATCTGTGTTACAGAGTGAGTCTATTAAATACATACTCTATCTAACTGTATACCTCAAGTGCCTGCAGTACTAGTCACCTATATTGTGTTGAGACTAGTTCTCATCAGAGGGATTTTTTTAAGAAAACACTTTGGCCCTGGCTGGTGTGGCTTGGTTCAGCATTGTCCCACGCTTCAAAGTCACCACTTAGATTCCATGTCAGGGCACATGCCCACATTGCAAGTTCCATCCCAGTCAGGGATGTTTCTTTCTCACTTTGATGTTTGTTTGTTTGTTTATTTATTTTTTTCTCTCTCTCTCTCTCTAAAAAGAAATCCAAACAAAAAAAGTAAAAATATAATATTTTGAATGACCTTCAGAACAGGATTTGATCTGAGAAAATTGTTGAGGTGAATATAAGATCTGTAGTCAGAAGAAAATAAGCATGATGTAAAACTTCTGCCCTAATGTGTTTTTTGTTTTTTTGTTTTTTTTTTTGTGTGTGTGTGTATGTGAATTTGTTTTCTGTTTAAAATAAAATATGTTTGTACATTGCCCTTCACCATATAGCAGTAGTTCCATGATTTGGGTTATTCAGAATATCCACTGTAGGCAAGGAGGGATCTTCTCTCAAGATTGGTAAGAAACTTTCACCCATTTGTACTACCAAGAACGCTGATTTGTGTGTTTTAGAATATAGCAAAAACACTAACCCTTGTAATTTCACTATTTGAGCATCTTAATTGTATATTGAACTGGCAAAAATATGTTGTTGTTGTTTTTAGGGTGTATCAAATCACATGCAGCCAAAAAAGTCCAGTGTTTTCTTCAGCAGCAAACAAAATGAATATCCCGGTGCTGCTACATCCTCACCAGTGCTTCCTGAAAGGTCTTTTGCGAACACCTTTCCGACGTTACCACTTCATCTTGCACTCAAGAACTCATCTCGGATTAGGAGGCCCATGTGCTCGGCCATTTGATTCTCTTGGACTTCCTTGTACAAAGTGGATGCTGCTGTCAAATGGTTTAAAGAGACAGTTATGTGTACAGACAACCTTAAAGGAACAGACAGAAGGACTTTCTGATAAAGAACAAAGGCTTGTGGATAAACTTTATACTGGTCTAACCCAAGGGCAAAGGGCCTGTTTAGCAGAGGCCATAACTCTTATAGAATCAACTCACCACAGGAAAAAAGAGCTGGCCCAGGTGCTTCTTCAGAAAGTATTGGCCTACCACAAAGAACAGGAACAATTAAATAAAGGAAAGCCACGGGCATTTCGAGTGGGTCAGTCTTTTCCTTAACCTGTCCAGGAAATATTTTTCTCAGTTTTATATTAAAAAAAAAAAAGTCTAAATAATTTGTGTTCTAATGGGGATTTTTCTTTTCAGAATTTTTAAAAAAATATATTTTATTGATTTTTAACCGATAGAAAGGGAAACAGATAGAGAGTTAGAAACGTCGATGAGAGAGAAACACCGACCAGCTGCCTCCTGCATACCCCCCACCGGAGATGTGCCCGCAACCAAGGCACATGCCCCTGACCGGAATCGAACCCGGGACCCTTCAGTCCGCAGACCAATGCTCTACCACTGAGCCAAACCGGCTTCGGCTCTTTTCAGAATTTTGTTAGGAATTTTTTGTTGTTGTCTAAAGTTTTACATATCTCTCCTTTTTTCCCTGCTTGACATCCCTCTCTACCCCCCGCCCCCAGCCATTCCCACCCTGGGCAAGCCCCCACCGCCCCAGTGTCTGTGTCCATTGGTTATGCTAATATGCATGCATAAAAGTCCTTTGGTTGCTCTCTAACTCTCCCCCCTCCCATGCCATTTGTCTCTGCATCTGTTCTTATTCATCAAATTATGTTGATCATTATATCCCACATATGAGTGAGATCATGTGATATTTATCTTTCTCCAACTGGCTTATTTTGCTTAGCATAATGCTCTCCAGGTCCATCCATGCTGTTTCGAATGGTAAAAGTTCCTCCTTTTTTATAGTGGCGTAGTATTCTATTGTGTAGATATACCACAGTTTTTTTAATCCTCTCATCTGCTGATGGGCACGTAAGTTGTTTCCAAATCCTAGCTATTGTAAATTGTGCTGCTATGAACATAGGGGTGCATATATCCTTTCTGATTGGTATTTCCGGTTTCTTGGGATATAATCCTAGAAGTGGGATCACTGGGTCAAATGGGAGTTCCATTTTTAACTTTTTGAGGAAACTCCATACTGTCTTTCACAGTGGCTGCACCAATCTGCATTCCCACCAGCAGTGCCTGAGGGTTCTTTTTTCTCCTCATCCTCACCAGCACTTGTTTGTTGATTTGTTGATGATAGCCATTCTGACAGGTGTGAGATGGTATCTCATTGTTGTTTTGATGTTAGGAATTTTAAATGTTTTTGCACTGTAAATATTAGCATTGGTATATTGAAAAAAGATTTCTGGCCATTTGAACCAGGCTCTGTATTTTAAAAGAATAACATAAGGCCCTGGCCAGGTGGCTCAGTTGGTTGGAGCATCATCCCATACACTGAAAGATCGTGGATTCGATTTCCAGTCGGAGCACCTACCAGGTTGCAGGTTTGATCCCCAGTCAGGGTGAGTAGGGGAGGCAACCAATTAATGTCTCTCTCACATCCGTGTTTCTCTTTCTCTCCTAAAAAAAAAAATAATAATAAGTTTTCTATTAGCAAAATTTTGTTTTGTCTCCCAGATAGAAATATGACTAGGAAGAGCTGTTAACTAGTTTATTTAGTCTTGGTAATCCTTCAGCTTACTAGTGTAGAGTGAATTCCCAATTTTTGTGGTTATATCAATTATAATCATCCTTGTCACATTTTAAAATTCTACTTCTTGGATGTTTTATTAGTCTTTCTTTCGGAAAGACTCACTTCTCTCAGGTACTTTTGTTAGAGTTTCTGGGAGTGGTTTGGCTCCAAGCACAGCCATCTCATTACCAAAATGTATTTTAAAGGGGAGACCATATTTATTTGCCGTCTAAAAATAGTAAATGTTTATTTGATTTCTTGAATAGTTGACTTGTTCCTGTAATTGCACATAAGCCCGTTGTATTTTTGAAATTATGCATTTTAAAAACAATTTAGATATGTTTATCAGGATTTAAGCAAGTCAGTTTTTTTTTTAAAATATATTTTATTGATTTTATACAGAGAGGAAGGGAGAGAAATAGAGAGAAACATTGATGAGAGATTCATCGATCAGCTGCCTCTTGCACACCCCCTACTGGGGATATGCCCGCAACCAAGGTACATGCCCTTGACCGGAATCGAACCCGGGACCCTTCAGTCCCCAAGCTGACGCTCTATCCATTGAGCCAAACCGGTCCCGGCTAAGCAAGTCAGTTTTGGGTGGCATGAGAGCTGTTCATGATGGCAAACTAGGTGATTCCAACCAACCCTCACTAAAAATAATTTACAGTGGTGGGCAAAGTGCAGATATTTTGTGAGGAATGAGTTAAGTATACATAAAAATTGACATTACATTACACTTTTATGTTTCAATTTATTGGCAATATGGGGACTAAAACCTTTTAACTTTTAGGGTAACAGGGCATAAATGCTTTAAAGATAATTTTAAAAAGAATGTTACTTTTCACACATCTTACATCTTATTCTTCTGCCCTCACTGAGGGAGCTCGCTCTTTGAGAATACTACACAGGGTGTTAATAATCTTTATGCAGACAAACTAGCAAACTCCCAAAGAAATTTTAGTGACAACAAAGTATTTATCTCTTAGGCTTTAAAGAGTCTTTGAAGAAAAAATGTCCCAGAAATATCTGGTGTTAACCAGTATTAACTGGCAGCTCGCCATTTCTCAGTGCCTTTTGGGTTCTTCCATTTTGCCCTTATGAGTCCGGATAAACCTGTGTCTTTGTTGCAGTTACTTTATTCCCATTATAAATAAAAGCAACAAATGTTTATTGAGCACCCATAGAGGTTTAAGACAGAAACCTGCCCTGAACCAAGCATGCTATATATGCCATACATACTTTTGAATATAGTTACAATTAAATGCTTATGTTTTATATACTTTATTGAACATCCACCTATATATCTTTTACTTTATGCCATGAGCTGTTTTAAACATATTGTCAGTATTAACTCATCTAATCTTTATAACAACCTTAAGAGATAGGTGCTATTATATCCATTTTATTGCAGCACATCCTTAGGTACAGAAGGGTTAAGTAACTTACCCAAGATTACATAGCTCATCAAAGGCAGAACTAGAAAGGGAACTGGCCCAGTGGCTCCTGAGTTTGTGCTCTTATCTGCTATGCTTTACTAACTCTGCAAGTAGGGGGATTTCCTCCCTCCCTCCCTCCCTCCCTCCCTCCCTCCCTCCCTCCCTCCCTCCCTCCCTCTCTTCCTTTTATTCAGTAAATATATATTTTTATTTAAGTGTAGTTGGTTTACAATCTTATAGTAGTTATATTAGTTTCAATGTAGTGATTCAATAATTTTATACCTTACACCCCACTAATTCTAGTAATCAACTTATCACAACATTAATGACTGTATTCCCCTTTCCCTTTTCACTCATTCCTCCATCCTCTGGCAACCAACCATCCATTTGGTCTCTGTTTCTATGGGTCTGTTTTTGTTTTGTGTATATTTTTGTGTATATTTTTATTTTTAAAGATTCCACATATAAATGAAACCATATAATGTTTGTCTTTTTCTGCCTGACTTATTTAACTTAGCATAATACCCTCTTTATTATGACAAATTATTATTTTCAGAATTCAGTTTTTATTATGCTATAGGCCTGGTGCATGAAATTTGTGCACTTGAGCGGGGGGGGGGGGGGGGCAAGGGGGGGTGGTTTTGTGTGTGTGTCCCCTTAGTCTGGCCTGCATCCTCTCGCAGTCTGGGAGCCCTTGGGCGATGTCTGACTGAGGGCTTAGGCCTGCTCCCCACTGGCAGTCAGACATCCATAGCACTGCTGCAGAGGTGGGAGAGTTCCCGCCACTGCCGCTACCTTGTCAGCTGTGAACCCAGTGCACTAACCATCAGGGGGAAGCTCATGCACCGAGCGTCTGCCCCCTGGTGGTCAGTGTGCATCATAGTGACCAGCCATTCTGCCCTTTGGTCAATTTTCATATTGGCCTTTTATTATATAGGATTTTTTGAATTATGGGTGAAATGGGAAAAATTTATAAGTAGAAAATTATTTTCTCAATCACTAGCAATTTCTAGAGTATTAAGTTATTTTTTTAATAGGAAGATAAAGTGTACTATATAATGTTATATCCCAATACAGCCAGAATATGGGTAGGTGGAATAACTACTGATCATAATGAGAGGTAGGCAGATGTTGTAGAAGTTTAGCACATTAATAACATAGGTGATGAAGTTTGTCCCAAAGATCTACATTATAGTAAAAAGGAGATCACATTTTGTAATTTTATAAAGTGAATTTGGTGAACATAGGGAACTCAGAATGGTTTCCTTCCCATATCTCTATTACTTAGGAACTAGATAGTTAAATGGATTTTTGTTTACTGCTTTCAGGAATGTTAAAATACAATAATGGTTTTAATAAATTAGGAGAAACAGAAGGAAGTTAACATTTTAATAGAAATCATCATTTATTAAATCAGAAGATCTCTTTCACTGTAGGATTGTCTGGGCCCCCTGGTGCCGGAAAATCAACCTTTATAGAATATTTTGGAAAGATGCTTACTGAGAGAGGGCACAAATTGTCTGTGCTGGCTGTGGACCCTTCTTCTTGTACCAGTGGTGGTGAGTATTGCCAACTCTTCTTAAATTGCAGGGCAGGGGCTTGGGGGGCTCCCTGTTACAAGTTAGTGGGTATTGGCAGTCAGGTGACTTCTACCCTCTAGCTGAGTTTGGCCTCACAGAAGGAAGGGAGTTCTGGGGGTGAGGTGGAGGCTGAAGGAGGTACTGGGTTCTACAGACAAGGTTAGGCCAGGAGTGGCCTGGGTACTTAGAGAACGAGGAGAACACTACCGCAAGTTGAAGATAATTAAAAGCAAGTTTCATCCCTTTGTTGATCACGCCTGAGGCTAGGCCCCTCTTCCCTCCTGTTTTTCCTGGCTGCATCAGCTTCTACACAATTCAGAAAATGGGTCCTTCCTCATTCGTTATTTTCCTCTTATTGTTGAAACATCTCTTAAGCTTCAAACAAACAAACAAACAAACAAACACACCTTACAGCTTTATAACTTGTCACCTGTTTACATGACATGTTCAGTTGAGCAGAAAGCTCTTAGAGGCCCACGTGGTATCCCGCTGTCCCGCTACAGCACTTACCATAGTGCGCGGCACAGGGTGCTCGCGCGGCAGTTACTTACTGACGCGAGGTCGTGCAGTCACTCAGTTTAATTTGCAGCTCATCAGAGATAAGTGAATAAAGGTAGTTCTGCAAAGGATCATTTAAGGGAAACATAAAGCGTTCCATACAAATAGGTAAGGTTTTTCTCCTCTTACCCCTGATGATTTAAGCTTTTCACATTATAGTTACCCACAGAACAAGTATTTTAGTGCGTCCTCTAGGTGAGGCATTATGCAAGGAAGTACTGTATCGTCTAACACTGAATAAGACACAGTCCTCCTGGCTTTATGCGGCTTTCTTTCTTTCTTTTTTTTTTTTTTTTAAATCAATCTTTATTGTTCATATTATTACAAAGGTTCCTCATTTCTTCCCCCCTCCACCAGGTTCTCACCCCACCCTCTGCCCCCTCCCCATCCCCCATTGTCCTCATCCATAGGTGCAGTTTATGTTCAGCCTCTTCTTCCCTCAATTTCCCCAATAGTAAATCCCTTTTCAGATAGTAAATCAGTTACTTAGCATTTTCTCATATCAATAATACCTCCACATGCCCAATGATACACTTCACACAAAAGAGAAACACAGGCCATTACAAAGTAGTGTGTGTTGTGAATGAGGAAGTACCGTGTGCTTTGTGTGGAATTGTTTGCTTTATATTCTGTGGGTCTAATGCTAAAAAGTAAAGAGAATATAGTCATATTTCTGGGGCTTTATATTAATAGAGAGGTTGACAACAATTCATGTTACCACCCATTGAGAAATTTGGCTGAGAACATTCAGTTTTTGATTCACTATAATAAAAGGTTAATTATAAAATAGAATTTATGTTTACGAGGTTAAGATAAAATTCATATCAATGTAGTGTCTTCTTTACAGTCTTAAGAACTTTGTTAAAGATATATACCTGAATGAAGAATTTTTTAGAGTCGCCCTCATTTCCATATAGGTGAGAAGGCTACCCTTCCTCCTACCTCCCCCCTGCCCCCTCCCTCCCCAATAATACTCTAGAATATTTACAATAGCAGAAGAAAATAATAGATTGGGGAAATACTAGCAGAAATGGTGACATAAAATAGTCTGATTCAAGTTGTATAGCCTGACCTTTGTCAAACACAAAATGAGGGTCCCTTTTCCAGGTAAAACAAAATATAGACGTTGAAAGAAAAAATAAATAAACAGAGATATACAGTATACTATAAGTACAGATTTCTACCTCATTACTACAACAATATGTACATTTGAGAAGCAAACCTTGTGCTTTGCATTCATGTACCTCCTGCAGTAGCTTTGAGACCTTCCTAAGGGCCTGCACCCCACAGTTTTGGATTCACTGGCAAAGACAATTACATGGGAGAGTAATTTCATAATGTGGAGTTCAGTGTGTTAGGATCTATAGGCTAGTGATTTCGGGTATAGCTTTGGCAGATTGTTGACTTACAGAGAGGATTTCATGCAGAAAATTACTTTAGAAAGAAGTTTCATGTGCAGTAAATAAGGTAGTTGAGACATGTGGTGAGTCTGTGCTCCAGAATTAGAACCTATGAGAACTCTACACTGGGACCATAAGGGAAAAGATCATGTTTTTTCAGCAAGTTCTCAATGTTTAGCATCAACTTTATGTGGGAAAGTTAGCTCTTAGGCAGAGTGAAAATTAAAATTCAGGTTAGAACAGCACTGAATTCTCAGATGTTCATATGTGGCTAGAAGAAAGATGTTCGAGGTGATTTCTGTACTTCCAGAGCTTTCTGTCCTGCAGAATTTGCAAATATTGATGTTTTCCAAAATAGTGCAGTAAATCACCGTAGCAGTTAAGTTAATTGCCTCCTGTGAACAAGCATTCAGCATACAAAATATGTAAGACATGCTCCTGTGGGCAGGGAGCTGACTTTACAGCTGGGCTGCTCCACCGTGGCACTGAAACTCCTGATGTCAGCAGCTATCCTGTGTTGCAGGATGCTTAGCAATATCCTGGTCTCTACCTACCCGGTGCCACCAGCACCCTAACCCCCGGTTGTGACAAGTAAAAATATCTTTAGGTATTGCCAAATTTCCTCTGGGGCAAAATCACCCCCAGTGGAGAATCATAAGCATAATGTTAAGATGACAGTAAAGAAACCACCCTGGCTGGAATACAAGATTGGTTTGGGGCCTAGTGGAAGCTGAAATTGGACAGGCCATGTCAGGCTGGAGAACCTGGATTTGAACCTCTAATCCTGGGGTAGGGAATGTCCGGCTTGCATACGGTCGGCAAAATCATTTGGTCTGGTCCTGCCAAGGCATTAGGGGTGGGCTAATTAAATGTTTGATCACATACAGCAGGCTAATTTTTAAATTGAGAATTTTGTATAGCCCTGGAATGATGTTATAAATATCCAACTGGACCTGGGCAGAAAAAAGGTTTCCCACCCCTGCTCTAGTCATTATAGTTTTGAGGAGCTAGAAATGCTAAATAAATGAATAAATAAATAAATAAAGGAGCATTGTATACACTATGTGGGGGGAAAGCTCAATGATATGAAATACAATTTGAGGGTTTGGGAGAAATATCATAAAACATTTGGTTCATTGATCACTGTCCCTTATACGTGTTCCATGATTGTAACTGTGTTTTAGGATCACTCTTGGGGGATAAAACCCGAATGACTGAGTTATCAAGAGATATGAATGCATACATCAGACCATCTCCTACTAGAGGAACTTTGGGAGGCGTGACAAGGACTACTAATGAAGCTATTCTGTTGTGTGAAGGAGGGGGATATGACATCATTCTTATTGAAACTGTAGGTGAGTGTGATTTTTCTGCTTCCTAACAAAATTCTGTTCCATTGAACTCTGTATAAAGATGAGTGACAACTACATTGGTTATTCAGCAGATATTTACTAAAAGCAAAATTAAATTCAAGATATCTCAGACTGTATAGAGATATGAATATATAGGCTATAATCCTGCCCTTAGAGAAAAGAGAAATAAGCCATGTATCTGGATAACTGTTGCACAATTGATGGGCTATGAGTGTCAGAGAAGACCTGTACGTGCCAGGATGACCTACAGAAACGGTACTTTACCATGACACCTATTTTGTTTTTGTTTAAGCACATTTCATATGTCTGCAATGTCCACTAACAAAGTTATTATAATTGGGTGGCTGTTGAATACAGAGCCACGGTTATTTCATTTTTATATCCCTATTGCATAATTTTATGTGATGAAAATACTGAAATAGAAACCCAAGGAATTAACATTCTTATGGAGAGACCATCTATTATGTTACTGTATGATAAATGTTTGTGACACAACCTGATTTAGATTTGGGATATCAAGTAAGATTTCCAAAGGAGGTGACAGTTGAACTCAGTCTTGAAGAAAGGATTGGAGTTACATAAAGTATGGGCTAAAAGGCGTTTGCAAAGATAGAGGAGCCAGGGAACGTGGCTCATTCAGAGGATGGAAGTGTGCTCAGGATGCTTAGAGCAGCGTGCATGAAGACTGGATGTGACTAGAGATGGGGCTGTAGGCCAGGAACTCTACCGTCTGAGGCTGGATGGAGGGAAAGTTGCCCTGGTGGTAACCGGAGAATCCAGAGAGAAGAGGACCCTAAAATTCCCAAACAGTGTGGCTAAGTAGTTGAGAATTGGACCTTGAACCAGGAGGTCACAGGTTCAATTCCCAGTCAGGGCACATGCCTGGGTTGTAGGCTCTATCCCATGTGAGGGGGCATGCAGGGGTCGACAAATCATTGTTTCTCTTTCATCAATATTTCTATCTACCTCTCTCCCTTTCTCTCTCTCTAAAATCAATAAAAATATATTTTTAAAAAACCCCAAACCTTGAAGTTGCATTTGGCTGCTTGTCCTAGAGACTCAAAATAACTGTGATTCAAATGAGAAAGAGGTGTATTTCTTTTGCAAATAAAAGAAGGTGTCGTGAGCAGATGTGGGGGCTTTACTGTGCCCTCAATGCCCCATTCTTAGCACTTGTTCCCAAGGTTGCTCACGGTTCAAAGATGGCTGATGAAGCACTACCTGTCACATCCATGTTCCCAGTAGAAGGAAGGGGGAAAGGGATGAGGAAGGGAGAGGCAGGCAGAAGAGTATACACCTTCCTGGAAACCATATCTAATGACTTTCTTACACACGTTTATCACCTGTAGCTGAAAGGGGGTCTAGAGAGAGAATATGGTCTCTCACCAGGTGCATGGTCTCCTAGTAACACTGGGGCCAGGAAGTAGGGAAGAATAAATGCTGAAAGGGCAACTGCAAGTCTCTGCCACATTGAGGAAGGAGAGAGTTTTGAGAGGAGTTCATTGGAGCCGGGGATGTGGAAATCATATGTAAATGGATTGAGATTAATGTGAAGTAGTCAGATGAAGACAATGAGCATGTATTGCTTCTTTTTTCTCCTAGCTCTATAGAGAAGGTGGGAAATCTGGTGATGATTGGAGGAGGTTGAGAGATTTGGTCTGTTTTTGTTTGGTTTGGTTTTCCGATGAGAAAGACTTGAGTACAGTTTACATGATGTGCTGAGAGACAGGCTCCTGTAGACATAGGCAGGGTTAGAGACAAAGCAGAGTGACGCTAGAGGAGGGCAGAAAAGAGGGTCATATCAGCCAGTGCTTGTAATGCTGGGAATGGAGAGGAAGCAGGAAGCAGAGCTTGTTTCACATATGCTTATTTGTGGAATGGGAGAGGGAGCAGCTGGAGGATGAGAGGGAGTAGCTAGAGGAGGAAGGAAAAAGCTGGAGGGTGAGAGGGAGAAGCTGGAGGGGAAGTTTGAAAAGCTGGAGGTGAAGGGGCAGAAGCTGGAAGGGAAGGCCAGAAGCTGGAGGGAAGAGGGAGAAGCTGAGGAAGTTCTTGCTGCCATTTCACTGTGCAGTAGGTGCGAGGGTCGTAATCACGTGGAGAGATTATGGGACACTGTATGGCCACTGTGAGAAACGGGAAGGAGCTGACTGAGGGTTTTTAGGAGCATTGCTTTTACAGGGCCTTAGATCTATTGCTTTAGATCTTCACTTGAGCAGTTTCTCCAGTGTGCCATAGTGGCCAGGTAACCGCACCGACCCTGGGTAGGGATTTGTAGGGCTGGTGCAGAAAGATGAGAAGGCAAGAAAATGTGTTGGTAGGCACAGTGCAGGTTAGAATCACGGTGCTCGAGCCGCTCACTAGTGAAGGGAAACCAGGAGAGAGCCACCGGAGTGAGGAGGGAGTGGAGGCCTCGGGGTGCCCCATTTTTTTAGAGACTGAGACTAACGGGAAGGACAGGAGAACGGAAGGACGACAGGTGTGCTGTAGGGTGAGAGTGTAACAAGTCCTGCAGAGGTGGGTGTTTAAGGGGGATCGGGTTGAGAGGTTGATTGAATGAGTGAATGAAGCAGAATGGAAATGATGGTCAGTGTAGTTGAAAAAGTCAAATTACTGTGAACATTTTAGTGTATGGTTGTGATTTAAAATTTCAGGTGTGGGTCAATCGGAATTTGCCGTTGCTGATATGGTTGACATGTTTGTTTTACTGCTGCCACCAGCAGGAGGGGATGAATTGCAGGTAATTGTTTTGACTTTTTCCTTCCCAAAACACAAAGCATGCCTCTCTGAAAGTGCAAGTTTCAACTGTGGATTTTTTAAAATTTTTATTTTTGTAAATTAAGTTGATATTAGTGTGGGGAAAGAAACAGCAGCATCCACGTTGGCTGAAATACATGTCAAAGGCAGATTCTGTACATTCTTCCCAACCATAGTAATAGAATTTATGACCTTGAGCTAGTGATGTAACGTGGATGTTTTCACATGGAACGTGGGAGTGATGTAGTATATGGGCAGCTCTGACAGGAAGGGACTGCTGTCACATGGTGTTCGCAGTACAGTTGGCTCAGAAGTTTCTCCTGAGATACCACCTTGATTTTTATTGGGATCCCGCTACCATGGTTTATGGATTATAAAATAGGATTCTTGCTTTCCTGCTGTAGTACAATCCGGCACTGACCACCTGGAGCTGGCAGCCTACCCAGGTCGAGGGCACTGTCCTCCAGAAGATGCCCTCACTCCAGACACCACAGCAGGCTTGGGGTTCCCGGCCCACCCACGGCTCTGACCAACTGGCCACGAATAGGGGGAGGGGGGGTTTCCTCACAGTTGGATGATTAACTAGCATGACTCACAGAACTCAGGGAAGCACTGTATGACAGTCACAGTTCTATGATGATACAAATCAGGAGCAGCCAAACGAAGAGACACAGAGAGGGGTCTGGAAGGGTCCCAGACTTGAAGCTTCTCTGTCCTCAGGACACATTCCCTTCTGGCACATTAATGTGTATCTCCTGCCAGGGAGTTCACCTGTGCATCAGTGTCTGGAGTTCTTAACAGGGTTTTTTTTGTTTGTTTGTTTGTTTGTTTGTTTTTATAGTTGCACGCCACTCACCGAGTCATTGTCCACATGACTGATCTCAGTCCCCAGGCCCTCCCCCACCCCCATCCTTCCCCAGAGGTCAGGCCCAAGGGCCCAACCTTCTCATCACAAGATTGCCCTTTCCCGTGTGGGCAGCTTCCATTCTGAACTCAGGAATAGTCCAGGCACCCATGGAATAACACAGGCACGCCTGTCACTCAGGAAATTCCCAGGGCTTAAAGGTTACTTCTCAGGAACCTTGGACAAAGAACAGATAAATTCTTTATTATACAGTACCTCCCTCCCAATTGTATAATTTTAAAAAACAGTGACAGCAGACTACGGATGCTGCAAACTAGAAACATTAACTTAGATTTAATCATTGAAATTTACATTTAAAATATTTGAAAAGAAATATTGATATTAGATAGAAAAATCTACATTTTTCAAATAAGGTTTGGCCTTAGATTTCCAGTGTTTTTATGCAGTGTAATTTAAATAAAGAGATTGAGGAATTTTTAGCCATCAGGTTATTTTTCCTCAACAGCAAATTAGAAAAAACAACAACGCTATGTACATTTAAGGAAAACTTCACAGACTTTGTTTCCAGAAACAGATGTGGTGACAGGTGTTTTCTGTTCAAGCACCTCAATGATGGGTGCTTTTGCATCTTGCATTATTAGCACATGAGAAGAATCCTTCACGAGACAATGTACCTGTCTCCTGCCATGTGTCTTGATGACTCATCTACTCTAATTCTGAATGCATTTCAACAGGTGAGGCTCTAAACTGAAGAGAGGCATTACAGATGACTTTCATATTCCAAGAGGTGATTCTTTTGAGTAATTTCTGTCAATAAATGTGATTCCTGGTACCCAGGGCTTGGGAAGATGCAGAGAAGACATTAGTAAATGAAGAGTAGGACTTTCAAAACTTTAGTACCCATAAGGACTTTCAAAACCTTAGTACCCATTTGTTTGCTACAGTTAAATACTTGTGATGAATCACTTCCTTCTCCTTTTCAGGGTATCAAAAGAGGTATTATTGAGATGGCAGATCTGGTAGCTATCACCAAGTCTGATGGAGACTTGATTGTGCCAGCTCGGAGGATACAAGCAGAGTATGTGAGTGCACTGAAATTACTCCGCAAGCGTTCAGAAGTCTGGAGACCAAGGGTGAGCTTATACTCCATTCTGCATTTTTCACTGGGCATGTTAGAGGATGGAAGCCCCCAGCTAGACATATAATCAATCTTTGCTTGTATGTAAAATTATTAGTCTGTAGTCATGATTTTAAATATAATTCCTTAACCACTAGATGCCAACAACTAGATGTGAGGTGATAGATTAGATTGCTTAATGCTTGACCTGAGCCATTTGGAAGTGATAGCAGATCCATTCCAAAAGGAACTATCCTTAAGATTATGGAGTAATTAATGATTTGATGATCTATAATAGAGTTTGAGTAAGACAGAAAAGGCTTTTGAAGTGATAACTTCCCATTATGCTTGGTGGGTTCTGTTTTCAATAAGGGAAAAGAAAAAGGGAAATCCTGTAATAAGTGATGCAATAATATTGATGTGGGCAGCTTTATCTGCAGGAGGACTCTGTTATTAAAGACTAAACTCGCCAAGTGGCTCAGTTGGTTGGAGCAAAGTCCAGCACACCAAAAGATTTCGGGATTGATCCCCAGTCAGGGTGCATACGGGAGACAATCCATCAATGTTTCTCTCTCTCTCCCTAAAAATCAATAAAAACATATACTCAGGCGAGGATTGAAAAAAAGTCTGAGCTGTAATTACTGTAGTGGGAGCAGTGATGACATAGCTACCTTTAGCTCCCAGCCTCCCCCAGTCACGTGTGTGTTGGTCCAGAGCAGTCAGGTGCTGGATGTTCTGCTCTTAAACATTTGCTGAGTCAGGCAGCTTGGACAGAGTTGCTCAACTGGGTTTCATTTCTTGGCACTCAGGCCTCAAAGAAACCTACCTAGCAAGGCCTTTCTCATCCTTGCGACCCTCTCACAGTTTCCCAGGATGCCTCTGAAGATCATCTGAGCAATCCTATATTCAAATAAATCTCTGGGCTAGAAAACTTGACTTGAATCAGTAATTCATTTTTGCTGTGCACAGGAATCCTAGTAAGTTATCTCGGTGTATTTCCCAGTATATTAACTTTGACACATCAATAAAATGTCTCCTTGCCATTGCGTAGGTGCCTAGACTGTAAGAATGAATTGGCAAGTGTTGGAGTCCCATGAAAGTGTGGTCTATCATTTTAAGTAACACAGTTCTGGTTTTTCCCTTTTCAATAGGTAGTTCGTATTTCTTCCAGAACTGGAGAGGGGATCGCTGAGATGTGGGATAAAATGAGAGAATTCCAGGAACTGATGCTTGCCAGTGGAGAGCTGACATCCAAACGACAGAAGCAGCAGAAAATCTGGATGTGGAATCTCATTCAGGAGAGCGTGCTAGAACACTTCAGGACCCACCCCACCGTGCGGGGCCAGATTCCTCTCCTGGAAAGGAAGGTGCTCAGCGGGGCCCTCTCCCCAGGGCTAGCGGCAGACTTGTTGCTGAAAGCTTTTAAAGCAGAGACTAATGAGATGTAGGCTACACGGTAATTGTACATATCATTTCATGAATATTAAAAGTGATGCTTCTGTGGTGTCCTCGGCCTCCCTATTTGTGAACCGTGCTTGAAAATTGATATATGTTAGATGTGGATGGCCAAGGTCAGGTGGTTGGACAGTGTTCCTAAGGTGCCTATTGTATGTTACTGATTTCCATTTTTTTCTGTTCCCTTCTATTCTTGTACCTGGCATGGTGGCCTGTAAAATAGTTTCTTCTCATCAGTCAGGAGCAGAGAAAGCTGAGTGGTATATCATGTACTTTAAAGTACCTTCTTTGATTCTGTGTTCTCTGGGAATTTCAAGAGAATCTAGAAGCAAAGAGTCACCACATTTCTGAGGCTAGAACGATACACAGAGGGTTTCTAAGAGCTGAAAATCATGAGTGACTGCTCAAAGCATTTCTGAAATGGCCATATACATGCATGGCAAAGCAGTTGGAATACAATGTTCAGGTTTCCTTATCTGAAAATGAGGGTAAGAAAAGCTACTTTATAGGGTTGTTGGAATAACTAAAGGAGAAATTATAAAATGGCTAGCGCTCAATAATTGGTAGGTGTTGCTAGAAATATTACACTTGGACACCCCTGCCAGATCTCTGTTCTATAATACAGACTGGCACCATTTAATTTTAGTTTGGGCAAACTGCTTAATCGCCCTGTCTCACTTCCCTTGTTGGTAAATGGGGTTGACAACCGTGTCCACCCAAAGTTTTTGAAAGGATTATTTTATTTAACATAATGCCTGGACATAGTAAGTGCTAAATTAATATTTACCAATAGTCCCTACCAATGGTGAGGATAAATGAATTAGTCTCCCTCCAGCTTAGAAGGATAATTCTTTTCTGAAGAAAACCTCATAGGTTGACTTCGCCTTTGTCAAAAGCATAATTACCACTAATTTAGGTAGGTAGGTAGGCAGAAATATGCTGTGTTCCAAACTGAGCTCCAGAATTGTCAGGCATGTTGCTAAAAACCATACCAAATTCCATTAAAGTGACTACTGTTCCTTGTATGGTTACTGCTGCGGGAAATGTTAGCTATCACCATACAGCCTAGCAAGGAACTTTCTCTTCGTCATAGCTCTAGGCATGGCTGCTCACCCCTGCCCTGAGCTCTGCAGCCGTTGCCTGGGCTACACTGAAGACAAAAGCTGGGGAACGTGTGGTGGCTGGCACTCACTCAGTGCTAGCATGTCATGCAAGGAAAATGAAAAACGATGAAGTTGAAATTTTTCTTAAAAAGGAACAATCTGAAAGAAATTTTAGCCTATTTGTCTTTCTTTGCTTCCACAATAGTATTTTGGTTAATTGGTTACTAAATTTATGAACTTTTAAAAACCCATTTGACATAAATGTTTGGTAATAATCCTGACTCATGAGGCATATATAAGTTTACTTTTTTGGCACTAGTGGTAAGTCTGACAAAATATTAGAGTCAGTACAAAAGTAGTTCTAAAATATTGAGTTTCTCCCCCTCCCCCAGAAAAAAGTGAACTTTGTCCTGCAAAATGTAAATGATGCTAGTGTGAGTCAAAGAACGTTAATACATACCTGAAACTTTGGTACATAAAGGCAATCTTGGGGTATTTTATTTTCCTTAGCGACCTCAGCATCTTGATAGAAAGAGGTGAGGGCACATGTAAGCCAATAAACTATTCTACTCTCAGCAAATCTAAATTCTTAATTAATTTGCTTTTAACTAACACAGAGCACATCGTGTGATTGCATTCTCAGAGCTCCGGCTTATCTAAGAATTCTATAGAGCGATATCTCATGATCGATGACACGACAATTATTTATTAGGCTCATACTCAGGTACCAAATCCTGGAACCCAATATGGAACCCAATGATCAACACGTTCTTCTTAAGAATAAAGTCACATTAGCTTTTACACCCACATTTGGCTGGCTTGGGATTCCCTCACATTACAAAGGGTCCCAGTCCCTTGGAAAGTCCTCTCCCAAGTATTTTTGGAAATTCCAGAGGTTCTTCACTGGTTCACAGGTAAGCTCACACCAGGGGAAGCACTCGATTGGCCTGCCTGGAAGGTCACAGGCCCGTCTCCACACCCCGCTGGTGTGTGGGGTACTGTGATTGACAGGAAACACTTGGAGTTGGGGAAGGACCCAGTCTTCAAAATAAGTGGGGTGTCAGTCACAGAATAGAGTAGAATGCCAGGCAGGCAAAACAAACTGCAAATATTTCAGTCTCCAAATACTTGAAATAAGATATGGTATAAATAAATAGGTGTTATTGTGTTATACCAGCGATTTTCAATCTTTTTCAGCTCAAAACACACATAAAATAATTGCCAAAATTCTGTGGCACACCAAAAAATACGTTTTTTGCTGATCTGACAAGGAGAATAGGTATTTATTCATACCGAATGTCTATTGTTGTATTGGCTTTTGTCATTTTTTTATTTGCCAACCTAAGGGAAAAGAGGTCAGTGCCCCTGATTAAGTAGTCAGGGATTGCATTCTTGAAACACACCAGTTAAAAATCACTGTCATACTAAAATAAAACGTGAACTTCAGGGGAAGGGTTGACTAATTATTAACCTAATTGTTGGTAATATGTACCAAAACACACAAGTCATGAGGGCCTTCCCAGCTCCAATTTTGTCTCATATTGTACAACTCTAGTTGGCACTTTAATACTTCATAGTTTCTTGGTTCCCAATTTCAAATTCATGACAGAAATAGGATGGGTCTGTTTATCTTTGGGAAGCAACAGAGGTCACTGAGGGAGATCTGTGGTGGGTTGTTCCAGGGGGTAAGTGAAGTATAAATACAGTTCCTTCCTATTCCGCAGGAGCAGTTTGTAGGGCCAAGTTTCTTCAGGTTCCTGGGTGCGGCTGGCATGACATATATTTCCACCACAGAACAAATTACTAGGTGGCTAAGTGGGTTTCAGAGGGGTGAAGTGATTTGCTTACACAGCCAGTGTGACTTGGACTCAAGCCTACTTCTCTTTGCTTAGTGATCTATTACATGGATTAGAAACCAGCTCTTGAAGAAAATGTATTGCCTGATGACCATAATCTTTTATGCTTCCACAGCTTGCAGCCTGAACTGTCCAGTCTGTGGTGATAGAAACTGAAATAGTGTGTGTGTGTGTGTGTGTGTGTGTGTGTGTGTGTGTGTACATGCTGTTTTGACTGGAAAGGGACCAGAGTGATACATCTGGGTAGTAGTTACATGGATGTACACACATGTAATCAGTGTAATTGTGTACTTTACTGTTTGATATTACATCTCAGTTAAAAAAAAAAAAAAAAGAATACTGTTTGATCCAACCTCTTGCCAGGCTGTCAGTGATTAGGGCTGGAGATCTGGTCAAGATCTAGTAAATTCCATAGACGACACACCAGCTCTTGTCCTAGTAGTAGAAACCTCTAGCCTTTTCAGTTCATGGACTGTTCCATAGAACAGCAATACCCCAAGATGCTCCCTACCCCACAAAAAGGGTGTGTGGTCCAGTAAGTTTAGGAAATGATGCACTTTTTAGGTCCCTTCAAAAGACCGTGAACATTGAAATAGTAAAGACTGTAAGTCCCATAGCAAAGAAACATGTGTATTCCAACTGTCTAAAACTTAACCCTGACACTCTTTAATTAATATCTGTTAACACTGTATTAGTGTAATTGCCTTGAGTTTAGACAGAAGCCTGGTCAAGGCCTACCCCTCCTCCCAATCAGATGATATGTACGCCACCTGCTGGTGGTATTGGTTATGAGGTCACTCACTCTGAAAACTTCTATTTTCACTAAATGTACTCACAATACAGAGTTCTTTATTAGATTTTTTTTTTTCAAACTTAACATACCAGGGACTCAGCAACATAACTTGCCATATTCAGTTACAAAGGAAGTTTCTAGTGCAAACTCTCAAACTGGAAGTCAGACCATATGAATCAGCGCTGAATACCAGTGCCCAAGACAAGGAAGTGAAGCATTTGATCAAATGAGAGCCAAGAATGAGTGCAAAGGCCTTCAGAATTCTTGGATGTTCTAGAGTAAATACCTGTAATATACTTACAAAGGCCGTTAGCATTCTAGGACATTCTAAAGTAATACCTATGAAAATAAATTTAGTCTGTTCTATTCTCTAATTTGAAGTCTAAGTAAGTCATTTTAACACTTGTTCAATATCTAATAGACTGATGAGCCGAGCTATAATTCCATCCCCACCCAATATTAGAATTGTCACTTAAATTGTTACATTTTACTACTCTTGATTCTTGAGATTATAATTGTAAAAAGGATATTGTAATTGATTTGGGGAAAAGAAATAAAAATAATATAAAGGACCAGAAATGTGGTAAGTTATAGTAAAGTACAGTTATTTGTTTTGTAAAGAGCTTATTACACTACATATTTTTATAAACTACCTCACAATATAAGAAGAAAACGTTTTAAAATATTTTCTACAAATAATTTTACATAATGTGTTCTATTTATTTTCCTGACTCAAAACAATATATAATCACTAGAAGAGATTTCTTTAAAACCACCATTTTTGCCCGAATGGCTAAAGGTTTAAGCACACAAGCAGTTGCTACCTAACACTGGGTGGGTCAAAAAGAGAGATCAGTCCATTTCGTTCATCTTTCACTCTTCATCTTCATCTTCTTCTCGTTACATCTAGATTCCTCCAAGAGCTCTCTAAAGAAATCCCTGCCTTCAACTATGAGCAAATGCAGCTGGGTGTGCCAACACCTACCTAATCCTACTAGGGCAAAGATGCCTTGGCCCAACTTCAAAGTTGAGGAAATAAATTCCTATTTAAAAAAAAAAATTTACACAAAGTGCACCCATTTTATTTTTTTTAATTATATTTTTATTGATTTCAGAGAGGAAGGGAGAAGAGAGAGAGAGAAACATCAATGATGAGAGAATCATTGGTCAGCTGCCTCCTGCACACCTCATACTGGGGATCAAGCCCACAACCCCAGTATGTGCCCTTGACCAGAATCAAACCAGGATCCTTCAGTCCACAGGCTGACGCTCTATCCACTAAGCCAACCGGCTCCGGCCCTCATTTTAAATACTAGCAATTATTTGCAAATAATGCTATTCTCAAAGAAACATGCCCTATGGTGTGACAGCCTCGCTGTGGAAGGCTGTTTATTCAGATCCTGGAGCAGTATTCCTCATATTCAGAGATCAGTTGCATCAGAACGTGTAACAATATAAATACGCTGGTTTTTGGGCTTTTCCTCAGACCTGTGGTTTGTGAAAGTAGGGCTCGGTCCTCAAAATGTGTAAGGTGCCCATACGTGCTGATCCAATCCCCTGTGGAGATTCTTTGTTCTTAGCGCTGATGACAGATCCGCTCATAGTGGCTGATCAAGGGGAGGCAGGACATCTGTATTTATAAGAAGTCCACCCGTTACGTGAATAAATACAAGGGTTGAGAACTGCTCCAAGAGATGGTTAAAGAAGGGAGGCACTATTTGCCAGTGGATTGTTTGTGAATGTGGAGAAAGATAGGCAAACATATTAACCAAATTTAGAGTAATTATTCATGATGGATACAGGAAATCATGTGAATACAAGATTGAATGGCATGACCTCTCAACCTAATAAAGGTTCACAGTGACATCTCAATGACCTGAATTCTTAACCCTGGCTGTCCTTCAGAATCCTCCAGGAGTGAGCTTTTAAAAAATACCAATGCCAGGGGTCCTACTCCAGACCAATTAAATCAGAATCTTCAGGGCTGGGAAGAGGTGAGGCCTGAGCTGCTGCTTATCTTAACAGCTCCTGAGTCGACCTTGTGTGCAGCCAGCCTAAGCACCACCTCGCTCTGTGACACAAATAGTTTGAGTCACCTGCTATTGTTACATCACAAGCAGTTCATGTTTGCTTCCAGACCCGTTAGAATAAATGAATGCTTGGCACTGCCCTATGATCTCTTGTTCCCACCTCTTCAACCACCAGCTTTAAGATTTACCGTTCTATTTATAAAAGTGGTTGCCACCTGTTTTTTTTTTTGTTTGTTTGTTTGTTTTTTGTTTGTTTTTTGTTTTTTTTTTTTGCCATACTTTGCAGTGATATATATTGCTTGGAAGAACAAAGGCCAGAAAGTTAAATAACTTACAAATTTGCTAGTTAAAATTGGGGGGCATGAGGGCAGGAGTGTCTGTGGAATCTGTTGCTTGGCAACTTTTGATGAGCCCAGTCAATTACCTCTTGCCACTAAAAGGAAATTAACTCCTCGTAATGCAGAGGGCCTGAAAAGTCACCCAGAGCAGGCAATCCGTAGCCATGTCGCACTTTCTCTACTTGACTCCACAAATCCTTCTGCCCTTTAGCCCTCTTACTTCTCAGGAGTTTGACCTGATCAGACGCAAGGCTGGAGCATCTTGGCAGAAGGAAACGAAATGGTCAGATTCTTCTCTGACAACCTACAAGGGCAGTTACCGAAGGAAAGAACTGGATAAATCCGAAAGCGGCCAATTTTGTTCGGAAGCAGGAAAGCAGAGGCCTGAGTGTCGCCAGTAAGATTTTTTTGTAATTTGCACCTGAATATGTCACTATAATAGACAAGAATGCTGTTAGAGAAAGAGGGTATTGTAAACCCGGGAGAAACTTCTGCGTATTTTCCTGCTGTAAATGTCAGTGGGGAGAAGAGCCTAAATGTCAGTTATCAGCTGAAATGATGATTGTCTTCAGCTTAGTGCTTGTAAAATTATTACTATGTACTCTTGAAAACATAAAAGTATAAGTATTTTATTAAACTGTAGGCAGTGTCCTCTGCTTAGCAAAGAGATGCTTAGTTTTACCACTTTTAGCTGAGAAATCCCCCCAGAGCAGGAAAAAAGTTAACTAATCCTCCTTTGCTCTCACTTGCTAACGTCTACCAGTAATTGCAGTGTTGAGGGCCCAAAACACAGTTTCCAAATGTTTGCTATAAATCAAGCCCTATGTTGAGGCCCACACACACACACAAAAAAAAAGTATTTTCAGTTTAATATGGTAACTGAAACCACAGAGATAAGTAACTAGCACATGGGAGGGAGATGCTATCAGTAAGAGGCTGTTGCGAGAAAGATCTCAGTGAAGGAGGTTTTCCGCTGAGCTGGTCTGGAAAGTGGGGAAAGCATTTGCTGGAGGGAAGGTGGCAGAGGGTAAGGAGTGTTCAATTCCCAATGTAATCAGAGCTGCAGGAAACGCACATGGACATGTGGGAAAACACGAGGACTCATGATGAAAGATGACCCTCTGTGTGTTGTCAACTCTCTTGTCCAAATTCTGGAAATCTATTTGAAAAATCAGTTGGGTTATTGGCTCTGACTTGAGATGTGAGGACTCACTCACATAACCCCCTAATAAATATTAGTGATATTGCCGTCCAGGGCTCTTCTAATGATCGAAACAACGCTTAAAGCTCAGATGTCTCAGAAATTCTTTCTGATTGGGGTCCTTGTCTGGTTTATTCCACAGTCTCTGCGTCTCTAATACGGAAGCTCTCAAGTATGTTAATACTTCAATTAATTTGGGAAGCACCTTGACTAACTCTATGAATTTCAAGGCATCTCTTGGCCATATTGGGGAATCTTTCTAGTACTGCTGGGGTCCTCTCTGAAAATAAGTAGTTTGAAAGCTGGTATCCAAGTAGATCGTTTGAAAGCTGTTATCAGAATAGGAGAGGAATAGTTAATAAATAGAAAAAAATGCAGAAGTAGCTGGTGAAAATGTCCAGAACTTGGAACTTCTTTCTTATTGAGAGTGAGATCATTATGTAAATCATTCCAACCAAGGTGCCCTGTGACATTGCACACCACAAAGAACACAAGCTCACGAGGTTTATTTGTTTTTGGAACCTCAGAAATGTAAATATATCCTTTGCAGCATGGCTGCTTATTCTGTTACAGGCTAAGCCACGGCAAGGTTATGAATGAAGATGTAGGGCAGATTCAGCTCATTTGGGAAAGTGCTGGTTATAATTTAAGTTTGCTTTTTTTATTTTTTTTATTTTATCTTTCTCTTGGTTAATTTTAGACCCAAAGACAAATGTCTTAAGTTAGGAGCAAAAGCTGTTTGATTAAAATTTGGGAAGGCCGTGAAGAGACATTTTTACACTGCTATAAAATCAAATGGTCCAAGGGGGATTACTGAATAAAATATGAAGTGACTGATCATTTAAAATGTCAGGTCAGGAATATATTAAAGTATACAATACATAATACTTTATTTCTTTCATCACATACATTGAATACCCATATTGTGCAAGAAGGAGGGAAGGTGGTCATTTGGTTCTGAACCAGTTTTTACAGCAAATATGTAAAATTCATAACTATGCAGGGGGAAAAAAAGCTCCTGCTTTTTGGGATCATGGAGGTAAGTGTGGTACAAAACTTATGCTGCTATGGAATATTGGTATGGATTCTAGTTGTCTGCCAACGTTAAAATGAGGGAAAAGTTGCCTTTTGGAATTCCTAAGAAAAAGGATGGCACCAGGATCAATTTTTAGGCCTTGATGCTTTATTTATTAAATTATTCATTTATTCATTCATAAATCAAATATTCTTTAAGATCCTACATTTGTGTATGGTCTTTTAGGCTGGATGCTGGGGCTGGGGTTGGGGCTGTCATGACAACAACCATGGCCCTTGTCTTCATGGAGTTTACAGTCTGGTGAGGGAGCACCCACCAGGTAAACACACCGCATGTGCTTTGAGGGAAAAGAATGGGGATGTTGGTTAAAAATAGAAGAGGGGCCGAAACCAGTTTGGCTCAGTGGATAGAGCGTTGGCCGGCCAACTGAAAGGTCCCAAGTTCAATTCCAGTCAAGGGCATGTACCTTGGTTGAGGGCACATTGCCTGTGGTGGGTGTGCAAGAGGCAGCTGATCGATATTTCCCTCTCATTGATGTTTTTAACTCTCTATCCCTCTCTCTTCCTCTCTGTAAAAACTCAATAAAAATATATTTTAAAAAAATAGAATAGGGGTGGCAGTTTCTCACAAAACCGCACAGGCGCACTGTAAGATCTGGCAGTCATGCTCCTAGGCATTTACTTCGCTGATTTGTAAAATTCTGTCTGCACAAAACCCTACACTTGCATGTTTATAGAACCTTAAGAACATTATGCTAAAGGAAAGAACCAGACACAGAAGACAAATTTCACATGCTTCTACTTGAAGGAGGGACCTAGAGGAGGCACATGCATATAGACAGAAAGTAGAATACAGGTCACCAGGGGCTGCTGGAAAGGAGGGAACAGGAAATTATCATTCAAGGGGCACAGAGTTTCGGTTGAGGATGATGAAAAAGTTCTGCAGATGGTAGTAGTAATGGTTGCACAACACTGCGAATGTGCTTAATGCCACTAAATTGTACATTTAAAGGTGGCTAAAATGGTAAGTCTTATGTTATGTTCATTTTATAATAATAATAATAATAATAATAATAATAATAATAAACAACTTGTGAAAAACAGGACTTCCAGAATGTAATCCTCCATAAAAGCAGAAAAACTTTGGAAAAACTATTGTCAAAATCATTTCTTTCAAAATTAACCAAAGTGGTCACGGACAACTGGAGGGTGGGGGAATATGTGGGGAAGTGTTTGGGATGGGGATGGGGGGGGATGAAGACAATTATGTGATGCCATAATCAATAAAGAAATTTAAAAAGATTAACCAAAGGTGTGCAACAATCTGAGGACTGTTTTCAAGGAAATCTGCAAAACTCTGGTAAAAACAGCAGGGGTTTTGGCATAGAAACTTGACCACTCTCATCCCCTTGATAGTTCTTGAGAATAATGGTTCCTACACATGTTTGATCATGAGAATGATTTCTTTGTTGAAAATGATGATTTTTTAAGCCACTCCCTTTAGAAATTCTGATTATGAGGCACCAGTGAACCTGTGTAAGAAAAGTCAAACTTAGGTTGACTTAAGAGGTATGCAGGATTATGGTTGGGAGTGTGGAAAGGGGATGAGAGGAAGCAAAAGTTTCAGAAATTAAATGAAAAGATGAGTGGGAATCCCTCTTCAGTCCATAGGCTGTGACTTATAAATCCATAAACTTACAACTTGTTTCTTCTATTTGCTTTCTTCAGGATATCACTGCCAAGGGCCTCTGCCTACGGTCCTAAACTCGGCAGGTATGGTCCCCAAGACACTGCAGGTGGTAAAGGTAGGTGCAGCCCATTAGTCTGAGCAGAGCCTGGGGCAGGGCTGCTCTCATTGTAACTTCTAGGTTCTTGATTTGAGCCCATATGGTTTCCATTTGCTGATGACAGACAAGGTGTCTTCAGAAGGAAAACGAATGTATTCTACTATGGATATGTCGCTCTTAAAACAATGGCAGTTACTTTAGGGAAACCATTTCCTCCTCCAATTAGTCCCCAAATTGTGTAACTGTGCCAGAGCATGGAGCTCTAGGTAATGTAATCTGAGCTTTCCTGGCTGCATCAGAGAACGGAAAAGAGAAACCAAAGCTATACACCACCAGCTAGTAAATGATATTTGCTCATCTATAACCACCTCCACCCTGTCTTAGTTAAATTAGGGTAATGCTGGCTGCTATAATAGGTAAACCTCCAAATTCCAGGGACTAAAACAAGAAAAGATATTGTTTTCTTTACTTAAAGGCAAATGTGGAGGTTTTGCAGGCAGATCTTCCACGTGGTGATTTGAGGGTACAGACTTCATTCATCTTGGGGTCCCACCACCCCCTTGGGCCCCAGAGTCCTTTGTCTCTCGCTGGCAGGTGGACGTGGCATGCACCCCTTCACTCACACCCCAATGGGACAAGTAGTCACCGGCTCCCCCTAGATGCCAAGGAGCTCAGAGATGGATTCCTCCCTGGGCAGCACCTCCTGATACCAACTGCACACACCGCACAGAAACAGCTGGCCATCCCGCTACACACTCTGATTCTGAGGAAGAGGCTTTTCTCATATAGCTTCCGTCTCTCAGGGTTACATCTTTGAAGGTTTAATAAGACTAAAGTCATTTCAAATAAGGATTGTGTAGCACTTTAGGAAATTTTCTGGAAATACTTTCTTTTGCTGTGGTATTTAAAGCTTGAAGAGGTATGTGTGTGCTGGGAGAGGGGAGAGTGTGAAAGAGCTACCCTGCAGCCCTATGGGGTTTTCTCAAGTAATGGAGATGAAGGTTTATAGCGGCTGCCTGGGATGGTCATTGTTCTGCTGGCTTTCCTAATGAGATGGGACTTTAGGGGACTAGCATGTTTGAGATGGGTTTTATGCATTCCTCTGTGGTTTGTGGAGGCAAAAAAAAAAGGACAGGACAGCTAACCATTTGTGCAGTTGTTAAAATCAGGAAAGGCTTACTTCCTCCCCTTTGCGGTAATGAACATAAAATTGGAACACACTACATCGTTGAGAGACAAGACTGAGCTGGGGTCCAGGAAATTAAACAGCCCGGTCACATCATTCATTGTAAGCCGAGGTGACAGCGCATCTGATCTGAGTAGCGCCAAGTACAATCCTATTACATTTATATTCTATTTGTGCCCTTCAGAATTCTGATTAACCTGCTGATCACCTGAGCCCTGGGGAACTGAGAGTCCCACAGTCAAATGGGGGAAGGAGGAGAGTATTAGAAGGGTAGTCACACAAGCAGCAAAAGCAGTAATTTACCACTCTATGACAGGAATGACTTCGTTTTCCTATCCTCTCCCGTTTTTATGGTGAAGTGTTGGTAGGAGAAAATGACATAAGTGTATATATTCATAATGGTGACTTCTTAATAGATTTCTCCTATATCACTTTTTTTCACTCTCTTCAAATGGTCATTTTGACTTAAATGATAGCTACAGCAGATCCTGAAATAGTGTTTCAGTCAATGTCGTTTCCTTATAACATTGATGAGATGCTGCAGGAACTTACTCTTGCTTATATGAATCAGCCTTCAGGAAATTGGTTTTGTTATACATCGTTTCACTTAAAGGTTCAGACCCTATATCCACAGACTTAAGTGAGGACTTACTGTACTTGTTTCATTAAGAGGTGACCATGTATCAAGGCAGAATTATGTCATTTGGCCACAAGATAACTTCTCCTTGTGCTTCTTTTGTTTGTTTTCTTTCTTAAAAACAAAACAAAACAAAAAAAACACACCACATTTTTATTGATTTCAGAGAAGAAGGGAAAAGGAGAGAGAGAAACATCAATGATGAGAGAGAATCATTGATTGGTTACCTCCTGTATTCCAACCACTGAAGGCTGAGCTTACAACCCAGGCATGTGCCCTGATCAGGAACCTAACCATGACCTCCTGGTTCATAGGTCAATGCTCAACCACTGAGTCACACTGGCTGGGCTCCTTGGCCTTCTTTTCAATTTTTATTGTTTAATGTTTGGATGATCAACTTGAGTCTAATGAAAGGAGTGAAAGCATGAAGCCAAGGGTCAAATTATCAATACAGGCCAACTTTATAAATCTGCTAACCACAGGTGGAAAGTGGTCTGTTGCTGGTCTCTTTGTAGAAATGTTTCTATTCCTATAGATATGCAAATCAGATGAGCAGGGCTTATGTTTGATTCTCGAGGTTATCATAGCAAAAAGTTCTCAAATTCCTTCTCACAACTGCCTTCCAGACAATCAGTAATATTTGTTCTGCCTCCACGAAGGTGGTTTTCCTTTTGCATCCCGTCGATTTCTTTCCACTTTTTTGTTTTTTATTTGTTTGTGGCTTTCCCCTCCTATGGCCCCAGCACATGCTCATCTCTTATATTCAAAGAAGAATGAAGCAATAGCTAATAACGATAAAAGCCAAGTGTCGTAAAACTGTAGTACAACAAACAGAAATTGATAAACCGTTCAACTTTCCATTCACACTATTGCAAAAACAGATCCTAGCAAATTGTGTTCGCGTCCAAAGCTTCTCTCCAGCAGGAGCAATTTATGAAGAGCGAGGCTCAATGCAGGCTGCAGCGGAGCTGGGGCAGCACTCACTGGTCTACCCCATCTTTCTCTTGTGCGTAGCGTTATCCCTGTGTCCCACGACGGCACCCCGCTCAGACGAGCCCGGTTTTCCCTTGCAAAAGGGTACACAGGCCTCTTTCATTCTTGCGGGTCCAGGAGATGTAGTATGTGCCGGGGAAGAGGTTTGAAATCGTATGACAATACGTGTAAGATCTCCTTGGGAGAGTCCCTGACTACAGGTAACCAAGGGTCTGAAGCAGCTCCCTGGAGCTGTTTTCTCGGCACATACCCTTTTACAAGGATGACAGTGATATGCGGATATGGATAAGAACCAAGCAAGATTCTAGGAGGCAGCATCAATACGGTTTGTCATGTCACTTCAAGAGCGTTTGTGTCCATTTCTAATATCCCTTTCCTTCCCTCCCTTTATCCCCACTCTTTATTTCTCTGTGGAGCCTTCTCCAAACCTCTAAAGACTTCTCAAAGCAAAAAGAGCTCGCCAGACCATCCCGGAAATTAGGCCTTCACACAGGGGGATCTTAAGGCCTGTCCACGTCCATGTGGCTTCTGTGTGTCCTGTTGCACTTGCCATCAACCCTTACTCCTCAGCACGGCCTTGCAGGCCTTTGGGGAATGTGACCTGCCGACCTTCCCAGGCTCATGCTGTGCCTTTCCTCCTGCTCACTCTGTTCTAGTTCCGGTTCCAGTGACTTCTTTTAATAACTTGAAAATGAAGCCTAAAAGTGGGGTCACCAGGGAAGACTCACCTCCTCCACAGAGACCAGGGGAGACCCTAAATGGACGCTTCCCCCCAAAACGGAAACCTAGCTGTCATCCATCTGTGTGTGTGTGTGTGTGTGTGTGTGTGTGTGTGTGTGTGTATGTGTGTGTGAGTGACTCCACACTGTCAGCTGAATTGTTTCTCCCCTGAGGCTCCATACTTCCCACTCCCACCACTTGCCTAGGGTCAGGGACATTCCTGCCCTTTCTCTGCCACCTCCCACACCCGCTGCCTGGTGGGCACTGACTGTACCACCTACTCTGGCCCAGGCCTTCCCAGTGCACTCTGGTGAGGGCAGAAGAGAACTCTCCAGGCTTCGGCTTGTGTGTCTTCGCTGTCTGTGCCCAGGGCCACACTGGTTTGCCTTCCACGGCTCACCGAGGAAAGCTGCCCCTGTGGTGGGATGATTGTGGACGAGGGAGGCCCGATGGGCCAGTGCCCTCACGGGATTGTGTCCTCCCCCCTCCCCCTCCCACCCCTCCCTCCATGCAGCGAGGGAACAAGGTGACTTAGAACAAGCCCCACTCGCCCTGGGTTCCCACTGTCACTGCTAGCGTGGGGGCTTGTCACAGCGGAGGGACCTTCGGATGCTGGCTTCAGTTTGTTTTCTGACTAATGTGCCTGCCTTGCTGTGGGAAGTGCATATATTTCTTTTAAACAACAGGAAAAAAAATAAAATAAAAGCTCCCACTGGCCACCAGTACATCTAGAAATCCTGATAAACAGCCTGCGACGGAGGTCCTCACCCCGTTAAAGTGACAGGTATGCTTGCTGACCTCCAGTAGGCTCCGGAGAATTCCAGAAGTGACCCCTCAACCCCCCCGACCCAGGAATACCAACCTCCCTCTCAGGGGTTGGGAACTTGGTTTTGAAAGCTCTATTTTGAATTAGGGGAAACCATCTAATAAATGGTTAAATGTGTTTGCCAGAAAATATCCAAGTCTAAGGCAACATTCCCAAATCCCCTGCAGAGACTGGACACAAGGGGACACTGGCAGCGGAGCCTGTTGTTAAGAAGGTCACCAGATGCCATCTGTTCCCGTGAGCGTGTTACTGTTCAAGCATCACTTCCGCTAGGAGGTGGCTGCGTGTGCTTTGCATGTGAACTTTCTCTTTAAAAAAAAATAATTTAGTTTTGCCATATCTTTTATAATCGAAGATGAGCATCTTAAAAAAAATTCTTACTGTAGAAAGTATTACATATGAGCCCCTTCCCCAGGCACTTAGAGGGAGCGCCGAGGTGGGCAGCACAGTGACTTCAGTGGGCTTGTATGAACAGGCCCCGGTGTCTGCCTACGGGGTGGGCTGGGGTGAGGTGGGGAGAAGAGGAAGAGAAGGCAAAAGCATTGTTTTGGGTCTGTCCGTGGTTATGGCTCACATGTAATTGGGATGTTGCTGGCTGGTCCTCCTAATCTTTTCCTACCTTGCTTTAGCCATCTGTAAAATATAATAGCACCTCTTCTTTTCCTGTCATTGTGAAATTAAGGCCGATGAAAGAATGTCTTACTCTTTTACGCACAACTTAAATATTTTTTTTAACCCATAGGGAAGTTGAAGGAATAGTACAAAGAGATTCACCTACTCTCATCTAGGTTTACCAGTTGTGAGCATTTTGCCAAATTTGTTTATATGGAGTTTTATCTCAGTCTCTCTCTATTGATGTTTGTATAGACTTCTTTGCTGAACTATTGGGAGTGAGTTACAGACATAAAAACAGGATGTCCCTCAATACTGCAGCCTCCTAAGAGTAAGAATGTTCTCTTACAGAACAATAATACTGTTATCACCCTTAAGAAATTCCATTCTATATTGCAGAAAACTTTTTTAAAACCCTAATATACAGATTATTTAATGCTTTATTCTTTGAAATCTATCAGAGAAGATTTTCTGTGTCTCTCCCAATTGTTAGCAGTTCTATGTCCAAGGCACCTTCTGGTTCTAAGGCAGTTATAAAACATCGGGTGATAGCTCTGGGCCCTTACCTTCAGAAAAATATCTATAAGGACAATGTGCAAGCCAACAAAGCACACACCTTGGATCCCTCTGGGTGACCATGGACTCTAGGTTAAGTGTTGATAATCTTTTATCTAAAGTCTCCTCTTCTGTGTACGTACAATGTAAGACCACATATTCAGAAAGATAAGAATATAGTTTGTCTTCACTTTCCAGCATTATGTTCTGTGTTCATGAGGCTCCATTTCAAGAAACTCAAAATTTCAAGGAACTCAGATAAGGGTAGGTAGGAGGTCATATTATCCCCAATCTGTGAAACAGAAACAGAATCTCAAATACAGCTGCGAGCTGTACCATGACAGACACCCAGGAGGTGGACTAGCTGGTTAGAAAATCTAGAAGAATACTTCCAGACTTGGGCTTCTCCGATTCTGGAAGTTTCATGGTCACCAACCACACTTGTTTTCCTGACAACTTTCTTTAAAAAACCAAATACATGTAGCACCCCATCAGAGCCTACTGTATTGAAGGGCCTAATACATAAAGGTGGACTATGTTGGCAGTTACTAACACTCTTGTTTTTATCCACAAAATCGCCCAGTTTGGTTACAGTTTTAAGACGAGGAAGTGGAAGCAGGGATGTGGATACACACTAGCAAACTGGGATAACATTAAATGACCTTATTTGAAAAAGGCTAGCTGGAACTGCCAAGGTCAAGTTGCACTGTGGGCTCTATTTTGTCAACTGTGCACTCACAAGGAAAAAAAAAATCATTAGCTAACCATACTTCAACATATGTTAGCTTGCTGGTGTTCCTTCCTCTTCATAAACAGAGAAAATGAGAGACATTTCTAGCTCAGTTAGTAAAATGACCGAGCTAGCCGAAAGATGGTCATAAATGTGTAAATCCCACATGCAAAGGTTTAGCAAAAATAAATAAATAAATAAATAAATAAATAAATAAATAAAATAAAATAAAAATCTAATGTCTCTCTCTCCTCCATAATCTACCAAATGCCTCAATATTATGATGGGGGCATTGCCTCCCCCGCTCCAGTGCATGAAACCAGGCCTCTAGTTTTAAAATAAAATTGAAATGTGTACCATACCACCCTGGCTGAGTAGCTCAGTTGGTTGGAGCATTATCCCAATAACATCAAGGTTGTAGGTTTGATCCAGGTCAGCGCACATATAAGAATCAACCAATGAATGCATGAATAAGTTGAACAATAAATCTCTCTCTCTCTCTCTCTCTCTCTTTCTCTCTCTCTCTCACACACACACACATGCACACAAAACAAATAAGTTTAAAAATCAAAAGAAATGTGTATTATTCAAAAAATGTTTTACACCCTTCCCACCAAAAGCTCCAGAATCTTTACTATGAATTAACTCTTAGTCACAATTTCATCTTACCCGACTCTTACTTTTTCTGCTGCTCACATTCTAAAAGGAAATAAGTGATGTGTGTACAGCTTGTTGGTGTAGCCCACTTGGGAGAGTAGGACATTTTATGTTCTAACATTGGGTTTAACCCTGGTTTTTCCTCTTTGTTTGCATGCAGAACTATTCCCTCAGATAACCAGTTCCTTTCAAAAGCCACTTGATGTCAAGCACAGAGTGGTAAGTCCAACATTCCTCAATGATGGTTTACTTGTAGAGAGCTTAACCGATGGCACACCATTGCTCCTAGGGGAAATGCAGGGTTAGGTTCCCATGAGCCTCTGCTCACAACATTGTCATTAACTGAGCAATACGTAAATTTGTCTTATGTGTGTTTCTCTGCAAAGACACCTTATTGAATATATATTGTTGATCTCTGACATTGAACATACAGCCTCCAGGGCTATAATTCATGCCTAAGTGAAGATTATATAACACGTATTTTCTCTGTTAGGCACATCACAGCCTTCTTGTGCTGAGGACTCTAGACAGCACTGAGTGGGGGGCAGTTTAAACAAATAAATCAAGAACAAAAGGCATAAAAATTTAGAAAATAGGGCACTAAGAAGATCCCAACAAGAACACTTGTTTACAGCATGAGAGCTGCAGTAAGAGGGGAACATGTGTCCTGTTGTCCGACCTTGACTGAGAAGGTGTGTGTCAAGTGACTCAAATTGTTTGCCTCTCTGTGCATGTCCTTGAAAGACCTCAAAAGTGCTGGAGTATTAACTTGGGGTTACAAATACATTTTAATGAACAGGCAAACTTGCAAATATGAAATCCATGAATAGTAAGCATTGATGGTATTCATTTCCTCTGCCCATTTTCCTATTAGGATGTTTAGCTCTTCTTATTGATTTGTATAAGCTATTTGCATATTGGGATAGGACTCTTCTGCCAATCCTATTTTATAAATAATTTCCCCAATTTTGTCTTTCCATTTTACTGTTAGTGTCTGTTATTATAATGGCTTTTGGCAACAGTACCAAAGAGCCTTTTGAATGGGGAGACAATGCTGGAAAAGGACTTTTCTTACATTTCTATGGTTAAGTAATGGCTAATTTATTTTTATCTCTCTTCTTCACAGGCACACCAGATTCTGTTTCGTGATCTTTCTGCAGCACCTCCAAATTGTAAGTCCTACCCTAAACCATCACATTATAGCAATGCCCTGCCTTTATTTTATTATTTTTTAAAATATACTTTCATGTACATTTTGCCAAGATTCACCAATTCTTTTTTTAATTCTTTATTTTAAAAAATGTTTTTTTGTTGATTTCAGAGAGGAAAGAAGAGGGAGAGATAGTAACATCAATGATGAGAGAGAATCATTGATGGGCCTCCTGCACGCCCCACCCTAGGGATCAAGCCCGCAACTTGGGCAATGTGTCCTAACCAGGAATCGAACCTTGACCTCCTAGTTAGTAGGTCGATGCTCACCACTGAGCCACGCTGGCCAGACTGCCTTTATTTTAATTATGATCTTCATCTGATATATTTTTTCATCCCTTTCTGAGTCTGAGGCTGCTTAAGGTCTTTTGCATTACTGCCTCCTCCCTCCAGTCACCACGTGTGACTTCATTGTCCCTCTCCTGTCAATACGGACAGGAGGATACAGAAGTGAAGGAGGGAGAACTCCCAGAGCCGTGCCAGGGCAGCTCTGGAAAAGAGCCAACGTGAGAAGATGGTGGTGGTGGCAGAGGTGGGGTGCGGTAAGAGTGTAGGGGAGGATTTGGAACAATTGATTTTAAAAGGTTCAGGAAAGCCAGTAAACTTCATTTGTTCATACTCTTGGAGCTTCTGTTTACCACAAGCACTTACCCCCTGGCTGTCTGTGTCTCCACGCTAGCTGTGAGGACGAAAAAACCAGCACCAGAGAACCCGGTGAGGGCCCATCAACAAAGGACAGCCTTCCTGCTGAGATGTGTAAGAATCTTTTTACCTCTCACCCAACAGAGGCTCCCCAGGGTAGTGCCAGTGGGGGTGCCTGTTGGTGTGGCATGCGGGTTTAGTATGTATGTGCTTAGCATTGGAGTAAAGGTAATCCCTAATTTATATTCAAGTGACAAAGGCATGTAGACTGTTCTGAGAAGCTGTCTGCCTTAAAGCACTCTGAACCTTTCTCGTCTCCAGCTCTCCAGTGGGAAGCAGACTGCAAAAGGGATTGGAGTTTCTCTCGTACTGTCCAGATTTCCCCCTGGGATTGGCTGGGTCCTGCCTCTTGCGAATGCATTACGTTCTCAGACTGTCCTTCCCTCTGGGGTCCCACATGGGTGCCTTGCATCTGGGGCACACTCTTTTCATGTGACTGTTCTGGCACCCAGCAACTACTGTCCCCATGCCTTCTGACATGGCCTTCCAGAGCAGGGGATACTCTGTCTTGCCTGATCAGACTTTCTCAAAGCCCAATAATTATTTTTAAAAATTTAAATTCTTTATCATTTAAAGTTTTACATAAGTCTCTTTTTTCCTGGCCTCTCCCCGGCTGCCCCTACTCCCCAGCATAAGCCCTCACCTCGCCCCCCAATCTGTGTCCATTGGTTATGCTCATATGCATGCATACAAGTCCTTTGGTTGATCTCTTATACCTTCACCTCCCACCTTCCCTCATAGGTTGGACTTCTATGTCTCTGGATCTGTTTTTGTTCATCAGTTTATGTTGTTCATTATATTCCACAAATGAGTGAGATCATGAGATTTATCTTTCTCTGACTGGCTTATGTCACTTAGTATAATGCTCTCCAGTTCCATCCATGCTGTTGCAAATGGTAAGAGTTCCTTCTTTTTCACAGCAGTGCAGTATTCTATTGTGTAGATGTAACACAATTTTCTAATCCAGTCATCTGCTGATGGGCACTTAGGCTGTTTCCAAATCTTAGCTATTGTAAATTGTGCTGTTATGAACATAGGGGTGCCTATATCCTTTCTGATTCGTGTTTCTGGTTCTTGGGATATAGTCCCAGAAGTGGGTTTACTGGGTCAAATGTAGTATTTTTTTTTTTTTTTTTTTAGAAAACGCCATACTGTTTTCCATCGTGGCTGCACCAATCTGCATTCCCATAAGCAGTGCAAAAGGGTTCCTTTTCTCTGCATTCTCACCAGCACTTGTTGTTTGTGATTGGTTGATGATAGCCATTCTGACAGGTGTGAGATGGTACCTCACTCTCATTTTGATTTGCATCTCTCAGATGATTAGTGACTTTGAGCATGTTTTCATATGTCTCTCGGCCTTCTGTTTGTCTTCTTTTGAAAAGAGTGTATTTAGGTCCTATGCCCATTTTTTTTTATTGGATTGTTTATCTTCCTTTTGTTAAGTTGTATGTGTTCCCTATACATTTTTGAGATTAAACCTTTATTGGAGATAACATTGGCAAATACTAATATGTTCTCCGATACAGTGGGCCATATATATATTACCTCTCACCCAACAGAGGCTCCCCAGGGTAGTAAATATATATTTACAGAGTGGAAGGGAGAGGGATGAATTAGAAACATCAATAAGAGAGAAGCATTGATCAGCACACCCCCTACTGGGGAAGTGCCCGCAACCAAGGTACATGCCCTTGACTGGAATTGAACCTGGGACCCATCAGTCCAAAGGCCGACACTCTGTCCACCAAGCCAAACTGGTTAGGGGTCAGTGGGCTTTCTTGTTGTTTTGTTGATGACTTCTTTTGCTGTGCAAAAGCTTTTTATTTTGATGTGGTCCTATTTGTTTATTTCTTCTTAGTTTCCATTGCTCTATGAGCTGTATCAGTAAAGATATTGCTATGACAAATTGTCTGCTATTTTGCTGCCTATGGCTTCTTCTAGGATTTTTATCCAGTTATTTTTAACAGTATGTTAAAAATGGGACTTTTCTTATGTCTTAGAGTTCTGGCAAGTAACCTACTGACTTCACCTCATTTAATATAAACGTTACAACTGCTTTTGCTATCCTGTTGCTTTTGGCTATTAAGATTTCTCTAAATTAACTTAAAACAACAACAATTCAGCCTTATTCTAAGTTATTAAACAGGATGAGGCAAAAGTAGATCAATACTTGTTGGTATGGAAAATAATACAATAATTAATAAGTAATACTATAAGAATAAACTGTGTTTTGCATACTCATAACTGTAAACCTACTTTTTGTTCCATCCTGTAGTCGCAATACTCTGGGTTTGGTATGCTAGTTATGTGAATTAGAAAAAAAGAAAACCTAACCATTAAAATAAAAGTGTTATTCAAGAACCACCAGTTCTATAGAGATATCACTCTGGAAAGTGCTGTCTATGGGCATCAGCTTGCTCATCTGATGAATGTAGCTAATGGGATGGGGTGGGTGGCCCTCATTGGTTCCCAGGCCTATGGGATGGTGATCTTCCAGATAGAATGAATTTTTCTTTATTTTTCTGTGGTTGGGCCTGGTAACTTGCCTCTGGAACATTTCAAACATGGGAAGGCAGCAAGGTGGCGAGCTGTGGAGGGAGGTACTTGGGAGCATTGAACGCTGGGCAGTCCACTGACCATTACAGTGTGTGGCAGCCAGCCCTCCCTTTGCTGTGGCGTTGGTACATGCCTCGAGGAAGGGTAGATGATTTCCTGAAAGTATAGTTACTGCTTGCTGGGCCCCTGGGAGTTGCTTGGGAGAATCATTAACTATTGTTAAATAAATAAATCCCTCCTGCTACATGGAGTTGTACCAGGGCCAAGCAATGCCACTGCCAGCGCCCGCAGCTGTTCTGGGCAACAGTTGCCTTTCTCTTTGAGTTGCTTCCCTGACCCCCTCCCCTAAAGCAAATTCTCTTAATCACAGTACCTCTTTAAAATCCAAAATTCCTGACAAATTAGTGACATTACATCCTGCTCTTGTTTTTGTGTGCAGTAGCAAACTAAAAATACACACACACACACACACACACGCACACACCACAATTTATATGAGGGACTTCTTCAGGAAACATTGGGCTTTTAGTTTTTTCCCCCCAAATTTTATTGATTTTTTTTTTTTAAGAGCGAGGAAGGGAGAGGGAGAGAGAAACTCTGATCAATAGCTCCTGTACACCGTGCACTAGGGATTAGGGATTGAGGCCCAAGCCCAGGACATGTGCCCCAACTGGGAATCCAACCAGCAACCCCTCCATGCATGGAGTGACATCTAACCAACTGAGCCCCACTGGCCAATGGCGGCCTACAGTTCTGGCCAAAAAATAAATCAGGATTTTTTACTTACTAGATAAGGAAAATTATGTTTTTTAAATAGATGCTGTGTTTTGGGGGAGGAAAACAACTTTGAGATATAAAAATGCACACATTCTTGCATCAACCACAAACAGGGATTGGATGACATTTTCAACCATCATTAACAACATTCTCATTTTAAAGAGTATTTGCCTGGTGTCTAATGCCTTTGATAGGCAACTTCTAAATATTTACAATTCTGGGCCCAATCTTCAAGAAGTCCATGATGTAAAAGCAAAAGCAGAGAAACTCATCCCACTAGGCAATGTCCACACCAAAGGACGGGGGGAAGACAGGCAAGAATCCTGCTGCTGAAGGTGGTTCAGGGGCGGGAGGGAGCGGTGGATGGTTGGGTTAGTGGTTCCAGGATGTCTTGGCTGGTTTTCTTTCCTCTTTTCCTCTTATTGACCTGGCCTCCCTGACAGAGATGGGGCAGGTGAATTGGGAAGGTTAAAGGAGCTGGAAGAAAGAGCAGGAACTACCCCTATCCCACTCCTGAATGACCACATCTGGCCATTGCATTCCCAATTCTGTGCAAAAAAGTAACCTTTGCGGTTGGGCGTGTGCTGACAACCTGGGCCATTTCTCAACAGCCCCGGCAACCACGAAATTCATCCAGCAAGCCTGATTCGTCCGAGGATTCGGATGCTGATCAATACTACGTTTACAGCCTGGGGGGACCCTTGTGGTAATTTCGCTCAGTCGGAAACCAAAGCCACAGAGCTGAACGACCAGGACAAACCCTCATGACAGACCTGGAGGTATGAGCCGGCCTTGGACCACCTGGACCTTGGCGGGCTGCCTTCCTCGCATCCTTCCCCGGGCTTCAAACTCCCCCATCCCTCACTTTCCCCCTTCTCTTTATTGGAAGAGGGGACAGATGTTATCATGGCCATTATTATTAAAATTTCCTTTATTGTAAATGTTGGCACCCCACGTCTCTGCAAGAATCACAGCAATGGTGTCGGGACCCCTACACAATGGACTACGGAGTCCAGGAGCCCATCCTTCCATGGGGCGCCCGGCGGGCACAGGGGCGTGGGAAGAAGGCGCGTTTGCAACCAGAGCGGAGGCCACGTTGTCCTCCAGGCGAGGCGCCTCCACAAGCCAACTGGCTTCAGCCCGGCGGGCAGGCGGGGCGACCCGAGTCCTGGCGGGAGCACGAGCCGGAGCTTCGGGTCCTGGAGAGTAGAGATAACCCCCCTCTTTCTCCCCCCCCCCTTTCCCCGTTCTCTCTATAGGGGTCCTGCTCCCCCAAAGCCCACGGCCCGCCCCATCCACGGCTCCGCCCCTCGCCTGGGTCTTCCTCTCCGCCCTCCTCCCCTGGGTTCACCCCTCCGCTTCCCAGGAGGTCCTCCCCCTTCTCCTCCCTCCACGATGCTCCTCCTCCCTCCACACCCCTTCTCCCCCTGTGAGCCCCCCAAGATTAAGGTGGCCAAAAGCGGGACGTCTGGTCGCCTTAACCGAGATCTGATCCGCCCCCACCCGTTGGAGGTGGGGCGGGGAGGTGTGGGGGGTGCTGGCTCGGAGACTCAGGGACCCCGTTGCTGCTGTCCGGGCAGCTCGGCCCCAGATGCTGCTGCCCCGGGAGGAGAGGCGGGACCACTATGACCAGGAAGGTAGCCCCCTCCTGCCTCTTCTGCCCCCCTCCCGCCCCATCGGCTCTCTGCCCCCGCTTCACGGACTCCGGTCACCAAGACCGTCCTGTCCTTCTCACTAGGACTGATGCTGAATGGAACCGATAATTAAGTCACACCAGCTCCTCCCCTCCCCCCAACAAAACAAAACAACAGCAGCAAAACCTGCTAGTGGTTACTTTTGTTCTTTAGCCCAGGTTAGGCAAAATGCGTTCCTGGCCAGCCCTCTAACCTCGTTCCCTCCCCCCGGGTCCCTTCGTATGGTTTCCATTAAGCTCGCCAAACCCTGCATTGAAAATGTAGCCCCTGGAACCACTCAGGACCTCCAGGATTGGTGCCCCGGCAGCGGGGTCAGGGGCTCTCAGGCCTCTGTGCCAGTCCTGTCCCCAGTGATCCTGGTCTTACCTGTAATTGGTATGCTGCACTACTCCAAGAAAATGAGTTCTCCGTGTTAATGGTTATTATTCATTCAGTATTTTTTAATTGTATGCAAGACATCACTTATTAGAATTCTGTTTAAATTCTAAAAACCTATGTTAACATCTTTTGCAGATGATTTACAAATTAACCTGGCCACAGAGATTCATTTTGAGCAGTAACATTTGTATGTCTGGGTCAACCCCGCTGTCCCCATTTACTTATACCTCCACCCACCCAAAGACAACCCCCCCCCCCCAAATGTTAGCTTGTGGGAAAATATTCCTTTCCACTTGGGTTGGGGCCTGTGGTCCAAGGAAAAAAAAGGGGGGAGGGGGGACAGGCAGTTTATTAGAATGATAGAGTGTTGTCACTGGAAAGATCCTTAAAATTTACCAAAAACGTGTCTGCTCATTTATTGAGGAGACTCTAAAATGGTGGGACTTCGGGGAGGTCCCATAGCTTATGAGTAAAGTACTCACTCAGAACTGCAGCCTAATTTGGGAAGGCGACCTAGACATCAGTGTTTCATCAAATGCAGCCAAAAGGATTTTGATCACACTCAGTTCAACTGCAGCTCATCTTTCTCTCTCTCTCTCTCTCTCTCTCTCTCTCTCTCTCTCTCTCTCTCTCTCTCTCTCTCTCCCTCCCTCCCTCCCTCCCTCCCTCCCTCCCTCTCCTGCTCTGGGTCTTGCCTGTTTGCAGAGTTACAGCCTTTTCTTCCTTTCCCATCCTCACCTGGGCTTCCCTCCCTTCTCGCCTTTTCTTTCCTTCCCTATCCCCCACCCCACCGGAGCCCCGACCATGAGATTTTATTTGGGATTTTAAAATGAAACCAGGTGCTGCATAAAACAAAAGCAGAGTAATAACAAGGAAAGACTATCCAACGCCTGAGGAATGTGCTGAGTTTTATGACTCAGGCTGTCCTGGCGAAGAACTCTGACTTACACGGAGAGGTGGGTGGCACGGAGCACAGACCATACATGGTAGCCTGGCCTCCCCAGATAAGATGGTCAGGGCAGCCTGTGACTCATTTTGCAAAAACCAGAGACTCTGTTCCTTGTGGAACAAGACTTCCCGCAGGCTAGAGCCAAAGGATCATCAACTGTTTCCCGACTGGGCCAGTTCAGCTTGACAGAGCAGGGGCCACCCTGAGGTTTGGAGGGGAAGGGAGCCTGGGCAGAAGGCCATCCCTGGGAAAGAAACAGGCCTGATGGACTTGGGCAAGGGCGTTTGGTGCACTTAAGAGACGGATGAATCACATGTAAGCTGCAGAGGGACGTGAAAGTCAGCCTGCACTGCCGTGGAGACAGTGGCTTGCAAGCTCCAGGTGGCAGGGTTGTCACAGAGCCTTGGAGGAGGGGGTGGGGGGGTGGGGGTGCTGCAGAGGAGGTCCCCAGGTGTTTGCTCTTGGCAGGGGTGCATGGTGGAGAGCGCAGGAAAAGTGGGTCGGCCTCTGACGGGGATTCTGAAGGTGCCATGGCTAATGCAGCCAGGAGGGGTAACTAGGAACAGGAGTGGTGGACTTTACATAAACATCCAGGCACACTTCCTCACATTCTGAGGATTCTTTTCAAATGAGCAGGGTAATGGGGTGAGGTGCACATTTTTTTCTGTTACTAAGAGACGGGCGGAGAGCTGGGAGCGCTAAGGAGATGTGGCAGAGGTGGCGGGAGGGGTCTGCACCTGGGGGACAAGGGTCTGTTTGTGCCTCTTCATTACACAGGCCTGGGCTGACCGGGCCTCTGGCTTCTGCCCCCCCACCCCTCCTCCCCCAGAGAAGGCTGTCACTTTCTGAATGAGAATGAACCCGGACTGGTACAAATGAGATCCCCAACAGCAGCCTCACAGACGCAAGGCCTTATTTCTTTTCTTCGTCTCTCCCTCTTTTCCTTCCCAGGGACTTGCCCATTGCAAAGCTACGGTGACTATTCCGTAATTGCAGGAAGAGCTCTGCTCACTTTTTCATTAAAGTCTACTTACCTGGAAAAATAAAGTCTTTTAAGGACCATGACTTCATAAATATTTATAGTGCAAACAGGCGTCACTCCGGTTCTGCGGGAGAATGGGCTCATTCAGTTTTATTTATGCCGGGACACTCGGGTGAGTGACACCCGTCATCTGGGTTTGGCCCTACTTTCTGTCCCACCAAAGCATGTTTATGGAGCGATTATGCCTGCAAATGGTTGCTAAATTTAGTCTTCTCCTTCCCTAACCCCCTCTTAGCCCTCTTAACTCCCCAAACCAGCAAAAAAAAAAAAAAAAAAAAAAAAAAAAAAAAAAAAAAAAAGCTAAGCTTACGGTCTGGGGAGGATTTGAACCCTAATGACCAGGCACAGGAGCTTGAACAAGCACTGCACCAGCGGTGAACGAGTTTGGAGGCAATTAGACCGGGAATGGTGGCTGTTATTACAGCACTTATACACTAAGGGGGTTTTGTTGGGCCTGTGTGTCACAGGTGAGGGCACTCAGCTGGGCCTGAGGGGTTTTGACAGGTGATGGGCACAGCCCCAAGTGACGAGTGCAGATGGGCATTTATGAAACTTTCCTTTTGGGAGCTTTCTCTGGACAGGGTCTCAGCTCTGTCACCGTGCACCCCAGAGCTCTGGGGCAGAGGATGGTGGGAGCTCTGTTTCCTCCCCTGGGTCAGGGTTTCTGGGGTAACCAAAGGCTGTCCCCTCTCAGCCACACCTGGCCCCTGGCTGGGGGACAGCAGCTGCCCTCCACCAGCCGTGTGGAGGGATGGCCACCTCTGGCCTTTTGCATGACCGCTGCACATGCGCTGGCCTGGTCACTCCAGGCTGGATTAGGCCTGCACTAGGGCTCAGAGCTCGCCTCTGATCGGCTTGGCCACCTATTGTTTATTCTGGGAAGGGCCAGGTCTTGGCACAGGGGCCCGAAGGGTTGCCAACACTTTATTTTTAGAGACAGGAAAATGCTTGCTTTTTGGCAGCTGCTCCTCTTTTGACACATACTGGGATGGCGTCAAAAAGTTCGAGTGAAAGATTCCAAGCCCTAAATCCTCGGTGAATGTCATGGGCCACAGTACCCGGAGCCTCTCACCGGGAGCCTCTGTGGCGCCGAAGGGCTTTCCTGAGCAGGCCTGGCAGAGCAGGTCCCGCCCGCTGCACACCTGGCGGCAAGGCCTCTACGTCCACAGACCTCACGGCCGGGACAGCTGAGTCCTTTTCCATTCAGTCAGCTGGTCTGAAGTTCTATGGTTCTTACCTCCATTCATCTCCTTCTCTGCCAATTGGTAACCTAGCCCCACGAGGGAAGCAGAGTAAGAAAAACAGCCATTCTGCTAAATCGGACGTTCATCACCCCAACCACTGTCACTGTCATCGTAGTGACTGGTGCCAGGCAGCCAGCTTCCATGGCAGGGGCCACATCATCACACTTGGGGATGCATGTCCAAGTTTTATTGGAATGATTATTGGTCCCACTGTGGTCCCTCTTAAAACATACGTTTGCAGGTCCCATGCTTTTGACTACTGACAATTTATCTAAAAGCATTTTGTAAATTGTAATGACATTATGCTATGGAAATAAAAGTAAATAATTAAATTGTTTCCTACTTTCCTTTCTCCCAACCCTCTCAAAAATTACTTTTTAATTGTCAGAATAAAACACAAATG